ATTAGGGTCAGCGATGCTCCACCACTAGTTATTATTAGCAAGAGTACATAACCCCCCAGAGTGTGCAACGCCGATCCATCTCTGCATAGGGTCTTGGTCGAGCGGAATCGGATCTTCTGATGTCATGCGTACACTCCACACCAGCGCAAGGCCGGTCTCGAGGCAGGGCACCATTGTTTTTGATCCAAGAGTACCTGCGACTCCCCGGGTTCCCCTCAGATGTGTACCGTATTTAATATGACGCAAAGATCCGATTCCGCTCGACCAAGACCCTATGCAGAGCTGGATCAGGCGTTGCACACTCTGGGGGGTTATGTACTCTTGTTATTAGCTATGTTGTAGTCGTCATCCCAGATTTTGACGTCCCTTGGATCGGAGGCACGTTCAACGGTTGCACATGCACATGCACATGCACAGATACCAGAGGAAGCAGCCAGTGTGCTGACAGTTTAAAGTAGCAACAAACAAACCTTGATTGACCTTTGTTGTACACGTACACGTACACGTACATGTTTTTTGTTTGTTTGTTTTTTTCTGAGTAAAATCAGTGAGCATGTCATGAAAATAAACCCGAGAAGAAAGAAAAAGGCCCAACCCTGCCCTGCCAGTTATTTGGACTTATGGGGGTCGCCATGGCAAATAATAAACATAAAACTGCACACGTTCGGGCTCTCCGCCTTCTCCGTGAAAGTATAAGCTTACGTACGACCACTGTTAGAATACGCAGTCCCTGTCTGGTCATTCGCCGTATCCCATTCAGATTCGCTTACGTTAGACCGACTGCAAGCCGTTGCTGCTCGTTCATATCTGCTTTGTAAGACCCGGCACCCTCCTGAGTGGGAAACCCCGAAGCAGATTCTTAATCGTACTTGTGACTGGTCATCCCTGAAGTGGCGTCGTCAGATTCTGTCCTTGCTGTATTTTCATCATGTGTTTTACCAGTTTCCGTCTTTGCTAATTCGTTTCAAATTCAATGTATCCCTTAGTTGTCGTCACCCGTCCTCTATAGTTTTACCTCTTTCTGGCTCCCATTTCCTTAAATCCCCTCTCTTCAGTTTATCTGTGGAATGGAACAAACTTCCAGAACACATCCGCTGCGTTCAGTCCTCTGTCAATTTTCGCATTGCTCTAAAGGCTCATTACTCTCAGCATAGATATTCTCTGACTGGAATTCCGAACTTTTCCGTTTGAGAATTTTTTTTCCTTGAAATTAATCCTTGCTGGGTTTTTTTCATCTAAATGTCCCGCTATTATCTGCAGAGGTGATTTCTTCCCTCGTCGATTTCTTTCCTGCTTTTATACCTCGATATTTAGGTACTTGTTTCCCTTCTTCCCATGCTTCATCTTCCACTCTCCTCTCCCCATTTCCCCATTTTTCTTGCGATATTTATGTGGGAGACTTCCGTGATAAGCATCCATTTGCTTTTGGAGAATCCTTTTAAATAAATACAATACAATAATACCGTAAAAGAAAACTAGAGGGGAAAAAAGAAGCAACAATGAGGAATAGGATACACGTACATGTACAATGTACGTGTACGTGTACGTGTACATGTACGTGTACGTGTACGTGTACGTGTACATGTACGTGTACGTGTACAGAACAACAAACATACATGTATATTATGTACATGCATTATACAACGTCCGTTAAATTAAACCGAAGTGCCACTGCACATGATGATTGTATTCATTTGTCTGAGGAAAATGAAAAGCTAAAAAGGGAGAATTTACATGCAATTAGGAAGTTATGCATAGGTACTAAGTACCGCATCAGACACAATCTCAGCTATCAGCACTTATAACTTATAAGGGTACTCAGGACGACAGCGGCGTGAGGTTTTAGAACTTTCCACAGGATACACATGTTATTCATAATTGTGCCTGATAAGGAATTGATTTACTCTTGATCAATATGATGTAGGTGTATGCAAACGCCACGATCATGCAACGTGCCTGCAATCATCGCCAAAGAAACGTCTTATGTTCGTATGAATGTACATGTACATGTACACGTATTCTTGTAAGGCCACAGACTAGCTAGCTGTACTGTCTTGTTATTACAGGGTACCCTAGGTTATTGCGTGACTTAACTTTATTAATTAAATTACACGAACGTGAAGCGTTTAACCGTAGCCAGTGCACTGCAGTAGAGGTATGGGGACAGCACGTGACATGCCATACATGTTGTACTGTATACCGCGCTGACGTGGTTAACTGAGAAAAGTGCCACCACTCTCGCCTAAGCCTCGCTGCTGCGAACAATTGTTGATAAAAACGTCTGGCGAGTCAGTATTAGACCACCCATTAAGTGCTTACAATGACCTCCTAGATCCTGCTCAAAGACCTCACCGAATCCGGGGATTTCTTGCCAGGCTCTTCATGTCCAAAGTTAGGCCCTTACTTTTTTGGCCTTAGTCACAGTTAGCGCCTTACACATGTACATTGTGTATAGTCATGTATGTACATGATAGCTAGGTTAGCTGGCACAGCTCCATGGATCCAGTAGAGCCTTCGCCACTCAATGTCATGAGCAAGCGCTAAGCACGCACGCACGCGACGTTCATTATTAGCATGGATCCACTTGTGCTAAGAGACTGGGAGTAGTGTGACTGAGCCCACACCGGCTAGACAATGAGGATAGAGAGCACACTTGTACACACACCATATCCGTTGAAACGCTGAAGCCAATGCCAATGGAGGCCGGAAGTTCAGACAGTGCCTGGAGGCGCTATCTCGTTGGTGTTACCGTGGCCTAGCAATTGACAGATCATGCTCAAACAATCGGCAGATTCTGCTCGAAAAGCAGTGAAATTGGCATAACCATTCAAACCTTGGGGCAGCCACTTCCTAGCTCCAGTTCTTTATCAACATACATAATACCACACGAGCATGAACCAAACAACTACATATATGTAGTTGTTTTGACAGTAGCATGAAACAAGGTGGATGACACTGTGTTCGGAAACAGTGACCTTACTACAACCGTCCGCGGTTGGCAAAACAAGGTTTATCTAATACATCAGTTTTAGGTTATTATAATACCAAACTATGTACTTGCACCAGAAAAAGCACCAAATTCTGCTACATTTCTGCGGCATTAGCCGGCAAGGGACTGGCTACGTCACACAGTGACGTCACCTACATGTATATGTAACAAGTAACAGTTAGCATGATCGAGGTTTACAGATTGTAGATCAATTGAACATGATCTGGTCGATGCAGTACAGTAGAGATTGATACGTTCTAGTACCAGTGTGAACTAAGGATTTGTAAAAACGGGTTTCTTCAACTCCCTGGCGTAAACAGAAAGCATACTAGTAACATCTGTGGAAATTAGCAGATCTTCCCCATCGGAAGTTTCCAATGGGAATGATCTGATATGGTGGAAGAATAACGAACCGAGACAGCCGGTCCTCAGGAAGGGCACCTCCGACGTTCGGAGCAGTCACGAAATGAATGGCAGGGTATCTCGGCACTGCAAATAATGGTGAATTCGAATGACAGAGAGAAGGCGAATCTGTGCTCTGCTACTCTAAAACCGGTGAAAACGTGATCTGCGTGATCTGCGGACTGAGTGATCTGCCGACTGAGTGATCTGCCGACTGAAGGTGATCTGCGTGATCTGCAGCTCATCGCAGGTGCCGGCACACGTCGCTACAAAAGGTAGTAACAGGGCAGGTTAATGTGTAACAAATAAAATCCGACCGCAGTGGTGATTCATAGTCTAGTCAACCGTCATTCCTGTCCTTTGTGGCGTATTAGCTTCCTTCATAGCGTGGAAGAAGGCCCAGTTCTCTTTGGGAGAGGCAGCCATGGTAAGAGAACAACAGCATCACTCATCCCTAGAAACAAAACGAGTTCCTGAGCGTCGAGATCTTTTAAGCACCAGTGACCACACAAGGAATATAGCCGGAGGGCCGGAGAGTATTGTACAATGTGTAACATGCACCAACAGTGCCCAGCCCCAGGTCGCAATTGACAATACGTCAAGTAGAAAATAGGGACGATGCAGTCATCTTATTCTTAGCGGAGTGAACCCTGCAACGTGCACTTTCGCACTGTGGGTCTCAAAGTCCGCTACCATCGTCTCCTTAATTACACTGTGCAGTTTGCGTCTTCCAACAAAAGGTCGAGCATGAAAGTGTTGAAGCAGAAGAGTTGCCCATACTAAGTACACTTTGCACTGAATGGAAATTAGCAATCCCAGTCAAGAGGGTCGTGGTCAAGGTTTGCCTCGTAAATACTTCCTTCTCCTCGAACTCTTGTAACCCTGAAGAGAGCGGTGAAGGATCGGAGCTCATCTACACTTCAGTACATGTAGTCCAGGACAAAATTCGAGGTCGGCCGCTCGAACTTGGATCACATTAATTTTTAAACTAAGCTGGCAAATCATGACTACAACAGCATCAGTATCGCCTGGTCACGTGATGACATGATAGATTGAAAGACAGTGGCACGATTTCTTGTCCCTTCGCCAAACTAAACTCGCCCATCATTGCAACACACAATAGCAAGCGAACAGGTCGCATGCCGATGACAAGTACACTTCGCTAAGCTTTTGTCTTGAACTCATACCCCGCACCAACCCTGCTCGTCCGGCATTCACAGGGCCAATGGCATGATCTCGAAGCCCGCTCCTTCGTGATCCAGTGTAACCCCCGAACCCACCTCACACCTCACCGCTGCTATGTGACGACTTGGCACTGTCGTACCCCTGTGCATGGCTTGCTCAAACAATACGACATGCTGTGTATACCAGGCTCTCGCACTCTCGCAGGCTTTGTGGCAATCGCAATGCAGTTTACGGGCTAGCTGCATGATTCGCACTGCACTGCAGTGCTGCATGCGGCGTGTGTCGCTATTACATTTACAACAATCCTATTCCCAGTGCAGTGCGCATGTGAGTCTGTGTGACATGTACGGGCTCTTTGGGGATGAAGTGTCACGAGACCAGCGGCAGTATAGTAGTAGTAGATCATGGAACATACTATGGGATTCGCTCCGGCCCGGGTGATGAATTCTGCAGAGCAATGGCACTAGGATATGGAGGGAGTACGTTGGCAGTATATCTGCTGTGGCTGGGATGCTCGACCATCCAGTCAGTCTGAAGAACTGTTTCGCGAAGGACCGCTGTTCACGTATTGTCCGTATGTAGTCGCAAGATACCACACACCCCGTTGTTAATCTATTTGGGTTGAGAATTTGAGGACATTGCATCCTCCCCTTTATCTACTATTTCGGAAAAAATGGATCAAGTTTCACAACGGCATTGTACTGATGTACAACAAGGTGCAGACAGCACAAGTGAATATGACAGCTGTCTGAATTGCCAGCGGAACTGCAGCCGTCGTCCAAGCCCAGCAACAAGACCGTCTGCAACAGCGCTGCTGGTATTGCTAACGATCACGTTATGCAGCGTATCTATAACATTAACGGTGAGTTGAGTTTCCGAGTCTGGGGATGACTTGCTGTATTCTCTGACAGCGCACATCCCATTAGGCAAAGTAAACTAACCACGTCTGACTGAGTAAAAGGGTTTATATTCAGGCTTAGGAATCGTGTGTACTTCTTCCACTCATATACATGTACTTCAACCAAATACGATCACTAAGATATTTTAGCTCCTTGCTTTCGATACCGACGTAAAATTCCGAATCTCCCTTTTCGCCATTACAATAATGCTGTGGCGTTGGACCAAACCTTGGAGTTCGGAAAATGTTTCCAGGAATATAATTCCTGGCTTTTGATCGAGGTGTTTAGTATTGTTTACCTGTTCCAATCCATCTTCACGACAAGTCGGAAAGCGAGCAGAGACCCCCCCTTCCTTTCAGGCTTTTTGATACGTGCTCTCTCTCTCTCTCTCTCTCTCTCTCTCTCTCTTTCTCTCTCTCTCTCTCTCTCTCTCTCTCTCTCTCTCTCTCTCTCTCTCTCTCTCTTTCTCTCTCTCTCTCTCTCTCTCTTGCAAAATCCTCCATGCTTCTAACAATCTCGCGGTGTAGAAGTGTGTCCCTTCGGAAAGGTGTCCAGCAAAAGGTACACCACCCAGTACTGCTGTGGGTTCTAGGTGTCACCCTTCCTTTGCATAGCCCAAGGCGATTGCTGCCACCGAGCTGGAAGAATGGGCAAAACTGGAGATGACACTGAGCACAACCTTGACGGCGCTAGCTAGGAGGTGACTGACCACTCACTTCTAGCATTGATGTTTGTGTTGGTATACTATACTGCTCTTGTGTTTGATTTAGTACTGAGCGTCCTTATCCTTGACAGTTACACACATGCGGTGATAGATCTTGAGGACACGGGGGCCCAATTCTACACAGTGTGCTAGTTGATGGTCTGGGGAGTTTGGGATCTGCACAAAGAACTTGCTAAGCACGGCTCTTCGCGGTGTGCCACAAGCCCTCAGTACATATCCTCGGGGCATTCAACATCCCAGTTTGCTCAGGAAGCTGGTCAACATTGTGACAAGATTCTGCGGAGCACAGAGAGTAGGAATGAGGTTAGTCCTTTCTTCAGAGTAGACGCAGTGGGTGAGGACGAAAGAAAATCCTTGTCGTGACAAGCGCGGTTTTCGTACAGGACCGCAACTAAATCTGGAGGCAGAGGCGTCGCGCAGTCATTCAGCTCTTCAGCTCCTTGCGATGCTGTAAAACGGGTGTAGCTTGTGTTTCAGTTACTACAAGACTTGCGTCAAGGTCACCACCCTGTGGCGCATGGCAATAACATTATAAATAACTTTACCCCGTGATCGCGCGATAGCTACGAAGTTTCTGAAGTATTTGACAGGATAAAAAATAAGGTGGATTTGCGAGATACGAAAGGTTTTCGGTAGATGTGCATTATGATGCTATTGTGCCAGGGCAGGTTGGAGATCTGTGGAGAGTAACAGCTGTAGATTGAAACGCAGACAATGGCCAAGGACTGGACGTGAAAACCGGCAACACAAGTGTGCGGCGGTTACCGGTATACCCCTTTCTCTTTCAAACGTTTTCGGCATTTTTCACCCCTTTGTTATATTGATTGTGCGTGCAAATCAACATAATCTGACGGGCTGAGCGACTGACTCTGTGATTGCAACATGCAGCGTGAGCTAGCTATGCCAACGCTGTGCGTGCGGGTATTGGACTGAGTGGTACATGGACCTGGTGCTAAGCCTATGTCTATGACCTAGTCTGCAAACACCTGTAGATTATGATGATAGACACAGCAGTCGGAAGCAGTTGTTCGGCAGCTCACGGTGTATTCATCCAAACAACCCCTCTATCACCATGATTACATACATGTACTTGTGCGTCATTGTACATTAAGTAGTATGCGGATTTCGAAGATGCCACAAAATTGGGGGAAACAGCACAACATCGAAGATTTCCTCTTAGCACACGTTCCCTGGTGGGTTAGTATTGGGAACGTGATGGTGGTGATGGCATGCGGAATTCCAGATACGAGGCTGGGGCGTAGAAGTAGCAGAGAACACTGTTGTGTTCACGATCCTAGCAGAGTGAACGCTGGCGATTGTAGTTGTGGAATCCACCCCTGTGTATTCCACCTCGTGCTTACACTAGCAATAGCACTATGTTGACTAGAGAATTCCAATTATCTTGCTGAAGAGGTGGCATGCACAACAGTGAATCCATGCTGAGGCAGCGCAGGCCGGCACACCCTCTGATCGCCCTGCACCGGTCCGGGGGTTCGACACTCCGCTCAGCGGGCAAACAGTGGCATCCGATAGAGTTTTGCTACCCCGCTGTGATTCCACTTGTGCGCTCAGATCTGTACGTATAGCAGTAACATGCCTATTATTGTAGGCAGGTAGTACGATTGTTAACGTCATGATGCTGTGCAGTAAGTCGCCTCTGTGCACGTGTCTCTGGATGATCAGGAAGGTCCGGGTCTCAAGAATGGCCACGTCGCTTTGGATAAAGGCACCAACGCACCGACCACCCTTCGTAGAGTAAACGTTAACTAGAACGATCAACGCCCATCCGCGGAGATTCTATGACCACCAGGCATTAGGAGATCCTCGCCAATATACACAGTATTCACATTTACATTGTGTCTAGTTCAGCACTTCGAGGCGTTTATCCGGCCAGGTAGATAAACATTATAAATAGCTAATAGCAATAGCAAGGAGGTGGCGCTGTGAAGAGTTTAACCAGCTTCACAGCGTGATCCTGGCAGCATTCTCCAACCCAATCACCATGATCAGCCTGCGGGCTCTCCGCGAGTAGGTAATTAGATTTGTTCGCAGATACTTTGCATGATTTTGGACAATCGCTTTCTCTTTTTCACCCAATTCAAATTGCCCACGCCTAGCCTCGTGCATGCTACTGCCTTGGGATACAGGTAATAGCGGTCAAAGTCAGAACTCAACGTCCTTATACGTGTGCTAGTTTATGGCACCAGTTTATTGCTGTCTGACGATCGCCTAGGCTATGTAATTGAGCAACTACAAGAACTCCGCCTCTCACGCCCGGGAAAACCGGCATGGACATGTACAAGAATCCCGGTTGCCACGCTGGAAAGCCTACAAGAACGCCGCCTTTCACGCCCGAGGGAACTTACACTGACTGAAGAACTCTGCCTTTCATAACAAGGACATCTTTTTCCAGGGGCAATGGCTACACAGGCGAAAGGTTTTATGGCGAGAATCACCTCACAGACCTTCTATTCTGTTCCCAGTGTGTGCGTGTGTGTATGCGCGCGTGTGTGTATGCGCGCGTGTGTGTATGCGTGTGTGTATGTACTCGTAGTAAGTCTAAAACAACGCAAGTGATTCTCGAAACTTGTGCTTCTTGGCGGCCCAATTCAAAATACCTAGCGAGAGCACAGAAGATCGAATAGATTGCCAAGAAAGCCAATCGTGAAGCGAATGAAGAGTTGAGACAGCAGCCATTCCAGGGAGATTGATATCAGGGAGTCGTGGAATTGGACTCCATGGTAGAGACGTATTTTGTGGTCCCTCCATCGGGCTTACATTCTCTTCTCCTGTACTGTTTCAGGTGATGTGTATCTATATTCATTACGTCATAGTTGTACTGCATGCACGCACACACACAGATTAGTTGAGTGTGCTTCTTTTTCCTGTTGTTCTTTCTCATGACATGTTTTGTTTCTGTTCCCAAGTCTTCACGAATAAATAGTAACGTATCATGGCGCAGTGAACTTGTTCTTTCCTGTGTCCGTGCCTTGTGTCCGCACCTTGTAGTGTTTGCACGGGCCCAGTTGTTTTTTTCCGTATGAAGTAGTAGTTTCCGCGATCGAAACTCTGTCTCAGTTGAATTATTTTAGTAGTGTATTTGTTCGTACTCGTGGACGAGTGACTAATCGTAATGGAACAATCACAGGACGATACCGGATTTGACCTGTCCTCCGCGACCGAGCGACAGCAGGAATCTCAAATGGGTGTCCTGATGAAATTTATGGAGCAGCAGATGCGTGCAGCTGAGGCTCGTGATAAGGCGATGCAAGATCTGTTCAAGAATGTTCAGAGCAGGTCGCTATCACCATCGCAGCCTCAGTTCACTCCGCAGCCCTCAGCACCAGCTCTGTCCACCTCGCAGACCTCAGCACCACGGCCAGTGAACAGTGTGTCCTGCCCACACTTATTGTCGTCTGCGACGCTGGCTGATTTTCACTCCTTCGTTGAAAGCTGGAGAGATTTTAGTGTTTGCCAGCATTTGGCCAGCCAGGCTCGTGAGGCCAGAGTGGCAACACTCCGTCAGTGTTTCGATGAGGAGCTGCGACGTTTTATCCGAGAGGATATTATTTGCATACCAGCTTCAGCTGACGTTGACCTGATGCTGGAGCGCATTCAGGCGTATATCAGACGGCAACGTAACCCACTGTTGGACCGCATAGAGTTTTACCAGCGTGTCCAGCAAGCTGGAGAATCATTTGATGCGTTTTACACAGCCCTGTGTGAACTACAAAGTGCATGCGACTTCTTGTCACACAGCCTATGTGGAACGTGTGATGCTCGCTGCTGTGCGCAGTGCAAAGGCCTCGGCCGTACCCTCAAGGAGGAATCTCTGCGCGACCGCGTCGTCATTGGTGTGCGGAACGATGAGACGCGACACAAGTTGCTCGCAACTCATGGTCTCACGCTTGACCAGGCTGTCACCCTCTGTCGGACGGAGGAAGCAGCATACCACACCAAGGCACACATGCCCAGTCCTGGCCTCCAGGCAAGTGCTGCCAAGCAGTCGGCGTACAAGCAGCAGAAACGTCACAAGCCAGCTGACTCTAAGTCAAGTGCGACCAAGTCCACTTGTCCAAATTGTGGTCGTTCTGACCACACGAAATCTGTATGTCCTGCCAAGGGCAAGAAGTGCAACTCCTGTCATGGCATTGGGCATTTTCAGCGAATGTGCAAGAGCCAGAAACAGCCGAAGACTAGCTCTGCTGCCAAGCTTGGACAGCTGAAGCTACAGCGTGC